CTGCATAGAAGCTAAAATATAATTGTAAATTGTTTTTTTTTGTTGCAGTAAATGTTTGCACAGTATGCACAAAAGGATATGTATAATATAGTCTGTACGGACTGTACATTATAGTATAAAACCCAAACTTTCATCAATAAATCAACATAACATGTCTTACGTTTCAACAGAAAATAATGGTTAATTAATGATAGATATTAACATTCCTTCATCTATGTAATGAACTGTCCTCGCCGACGTTCATGTAATATATATAAGTGTTCAACGTGTTCTAAAGTGTGTTAATACGTAATAAAAAAAGAAGTTCGGCTTGATTGTACTGTAATGTTTATTACTAGATTCTTAAGGTTCTCTTTTTTGAAAACGTGATTTATCCTTACAACGGCATAGCTCTTTTAAAATGATTGGCATGTTTACTAAAACATCCAAGTTAGTTTGCCATTTTTAAACGAGTATATAGAGTGTTGTTTGGAAAAATAATTATTTACTTATGACAGCGAATACAGAGAGTTTAGTTTAGTTGATTACTTCAGGCTTAACAATTGAGCAAGATACAGTGCGCGCCCACATTCATCCTTTAGCTTTGTTAATATTTAATCTCATGTTTCTTACATAAGGTACTGAACCTCTTCTCTTATCTCCATAATAATAAAAATAATCATATTTACAAAAATACGCTTCTAGAAAGGAATAACGACTCGTGGAACTAATGATTTTTGCCACTCTAATAACTAGAATGAAACAAATGGTTTATAAAAGGCTTAAATAAGAAGGGAAGAGAGAATACATAATAAACCAGTTAAGAAAATTTATAAACGCTCCACAAGTTTTAAGTCAAGTGTGACAAACTTAATTACAATACTGACTATTAACTAGAGAAAAATAAAAGAAAAAAGTAGATCGAACAGAATTAACTTTAGAAAAGCCCAAATATGAAATTTCACTTATAACTTCAAAACGTTCATTAATTTACTCAAGATACACTGATTAATGTAAAATAAATAATATCGGCGTATTTGATACACGACGTTGGCTTGAATAGAGGCTTGTTTCTTTGTTAAATTTCGTTCAAAGCTACTCCAGAGCTTTCTTCTCGAGCCAGGCCCGGTTTAACCAATGTGTATTTTATAGCGTCCCCAGTTTAGAGGGGGGTCCTCAACTGATCACTGTCAAAAAAAAAAAAACTCAACGAGGTTCCAGAAATAGTTGTATATGACAATCACAATACACGTGAACATCTTAAATTAATTTATATTTTCAATGACCACAATGCTTTCTCAGCCTATGTATTAGTTCAACGAGGCAAGGTACAAGGATTGTTTTAATTCATTATAATTGACATCATGTTTTTAGAATGAGAACAATAAGTATTTGCAATGTCAGTGGTTCTTCCGTGTTTTTTGCTGAGAAAGAGTTAAGACTTTTATTATTATTATAGAAAGTTGTTCTGATATTTACAGGCTTAAGGAAGGAGAGGCACATTTTCCAGAATACACATAACCCGAGACTTTAGCTTTAGCCATCTATAATTTTAAAGTGACAGATTAGAGGGTAAGGCAGTTATTCAACACCACCCACCTCTGTCTCTTGGGCTACTCTTTACCAGTGAAAAAGTGGAATTTACAGTCACACTATAATTCCCCCTACGGCTGAAAGCGTGAGCATGCTCGACGACGAGTTTCGATCCCGTAGGCAGCGAACTGAGCACGCTACCACCATGTCCGAAGAAGCTGGAATCACAGCAATCTCATTCTATTACATACCTATCAAGTTCCTTGATGCAGCTCCGATGGAGTTTTGAACTTTTTGTCTGTTTGAACTTGATACTAGAAGTCGACCGTCCACATACGATGGAAGATCTGTGGAAATGTTGTCAGGATGGATGATGTTTGATTGAACTTTATCGTCCTTTACAGAGACTTACTGCAGCAGTGGAAATTTCAGAGGACACAGTAGGGTGCGAAACTCATAGGATAACAAATACTAAAATTATTGGATAATCTGTACTCTATTCTAAAAGTAGTGCATGTTTAAGGAAGACTCCAACCTCGTTTTTCATACTTTATATATATAAATGCAACTATATCTTCTAGGTTAAAGTTATTTCAATCACAAATTAAGTGGTAGCAAGCTATTTAGGTGGAAATAAATAGTGTTTTTAAATAGGTTACCAATTTTGTTGTAAGTTAGAATAGTATTTCAATTTGGTTTAAATTCTCTAGTCCCTCAGTGGGATAGCAGTAAGTTTACATCCAGGGTTCGATTCTTCGCGGTGGACACAGCAGATAGCTCAATGTGGCTTTGCTCTAAAAGAAAGAAAGAAAGAAAGATAAGATTCAAACAGTAAATTTTCTAGAGTACATATTTTCAAATATTTTAAGGTACTCTTATTATTTGCTGATCAGTTTGGTAAAAAAAAAGCGACTCTTGTGTCTTAAACTTGTACACGTAACTTATAGAATATTTAGTGAAAGAACTGATGTCATCCTAACCAAATGAAACGTTTAGAATGTTCTGTTCAAGAGCCAGTGTCATCCTAACCAAATGAAACTTTTAGTATGTTCTGTTCAAGAGCCAGTGTCATCCTAACCAAATTAAACTTTTAGAATGTTTTGTTCAAGAGCCAGTGTCATCCTAACCAAATTAAACTTTTAGAATGTTCTGTTCAAGAGCCAGTGTCATCCTAACCAAATGAAACTTTTAGTATGTTCTGTTCAAGAGCCAGTGTCATCCTAACCAAATTAAACTTTTAGAATGTTTTGTTCAAGAGCCAGTATCACCCTAACCAAATGAAACTTTTAGAATGTTCTGTT